AGAGGCGGGGTACACCCCAGACAGGGCGCAGGGCTCATTTGCAGGTCGAGCAGTTCTTTATTTTGCATGCTACTGATTTGAAGCTGCCTCAGATAAAACCTAGTAAGTTTGTGTGTAGCATTTTTATGATCATCACGCAGCTCAGATGATCTATTTTCTCGTAGTGTAATAGGTACAGTGCTACCTCTTAAGATATGACTCCTTTGCACAGCAAGGTACATTTTGCTAACAAAGTTGAGCTTTTCCTCTACCCCAATTTCACAGGACCACTCGGGCGAGCAGCTGCCCTCAGTGAAGCAACATGACCTCATTACCAGACAGATCTGTTCACCTGGTCATTCGATTAAACAAGCTGTTGCCTCCTTGTGTTAAATGTCCCGCAAACCAAGGTCAGGTGTTGTCATGCACACCCACAGAGCTGTCTCCAAGGTTGCAGCATCACATCATGCAGCGTGAAGCCACCGGCTATTAGTTAAGTTGCCAGAGATGCTTGTGAATTTTAAAGTGGGGTTTGCCTTAAAGGCTCTGCTGCTACTGATTTAAGTATGAAATGAAAACTCAGACCTACTTCACTGATCGTTACAATGAATGTGTTCCACATTATTATTTATTTATTTAGATGGATGTCAGATGGTTGCCTGGCAACCTTAGCAAGCAACGTCACATACATTACCTTCATTCAGCCAATGTCATGTCTACTTAAGGCAGAAGGCTTCTCAACCTAAGTATCAAACATGCTCCAACTTTTAGGGTTGTTTGATTTTTAGGCCATAATCGAGGACCATAAACTAAAAATGAGCACCAATATGTTGTCATTTCACTTTCATCTTTATCTAATGGTCAATTTCAATTACATTTTTTAATTAAATTTTATTCATATAGTGGCAGATTCCACCAACAGTTTCCTTTAAGGCACCTTCAATTCTAAGGTAAGTGCCTTGGCAACATTGGGAAGGAAAATCTCCCTTAACAGGAAGAAACCTCTCACAGAACCCATTTCAGGGAGGGCCGACCATCCGCCTTGACGGGTTGGGGGTGAGGGGAGGAAGAAAGGACAAAGACACAAACTTTAAACATTAGAGCATTACCGGAAAAACACCCTTTAACCAGGCGTTAACCATCACACGGCTCATTATCAAATCATTCCCCACACACATTGCCAAAACCATTTTCAGTGGCTATTTCGTATCATTTATTTAGCGATATGCTTTATCGTTAAATAAACACATGCTCTGTTCATTTCGTATTATTAAACAGGTCACTGGCAACCTGACTAAGGTTGGGTTAGAGTTAACGTTTGTTTTAGTAGAGAGAGAGAGACTATACCTGAAGATATTACCCTTCGAGTGAACTCTCATACAGTGTAGAATTCCAGTTTTACTCTTAAAAGCTTTTCCATTTGATTAAAAGGAGATGGATGCTGAGCAAAATCTGACTCCAACAACAAGCCCAGACTGCTCACTGGTGGCCTGATGGATGTTAAGAGGGTTAAACTGTGTATTTCACCCCAAAGTTTGACTGACAGATTACTACTTGGGGGTTAAAGAGCACAATAAAACACTACCAAGGTAAACTGATTGTGGTTTGGCAGCTCTGCTAAGTGGAAACAAAAACAATTATAGGATAAAGTAAGTTAATGCCAGTTTAAATAACTTATAAGAATATCGAAAGTTTCTAAACAAAATAACTTCCAAAATGGGTTATGTGAGGTAGTAGACATGTTTGTCACTCTGTTGTGCATTTTTCTGCCTTTAAAACCTGTATGACAGGAGGATGTCTTACCTGTCCCTGTCTGACCCTGCTGTCCCTCTACTCCAGAGGCGTCACTTTGATTTACTGACCCACTAGGAGCAGGAAGAGCACAGTCAGGAGAAGGCTAATGGAGTGGAAATGCTGAGAGAGCAGGAGGAATTTCAATGGGGCAGTTTTTCTTTAAATGTGTGGCACGGGGGGGGGG